AGTCTGCAGAGAAAGGAAGTTTAAAGTGAGGGGAACATGCAAGTCCCTAAGCATTATTTCAAGGTGTCTCTAGAGAACGAGAACAAAAGAAAAGTTATTGCTGTATTTGACAGGTAATTTATTATTCCTCCTTTTCTTTTGTAAAGTTAGATTTTGATTCACCAAGAAAAGTTAGTGACAATCAATTATTACCTTCCTCTTTCTCAATTTCGTTTTATTGTTATGAGAAAGTTTTATTTTTAACTATGTAATGATCTTACTGCAGTGATATTGGAAAAGGAAAGTCACACAAGAAACAAAAGGGAAGGCAAACAAACTTCCTGGGGACAGGTTTCATTAGCAGTGGGTTGACCACTGGGAGAACTGTTCCTGAGAAAGAGGTAGCAATGTCCTTCTAATGGGTATCAGGCCTTGGCAAGGATACCAGCAGCATCAAAGCCTTTGTCCTCTCTAACAAGGGTCTCAGAGAAGATCACCTGTTTCTCAAGATGCCCAAGAGCCTTAAAGAGTTACTAAAGTTCAGTTTGGCCCTCATACCTGTGAGATGTGCTTTGATAGACAGTGCCACTAGGGAGATAGATTCACCCCTCAGTTTCTATTCCTCCTGGTTTTGGGAGTAACTAACTTGTTAGAGGAGAGAATGAGGAAGTGCATGTGGGAGCACAGGAGGTGTAGGAGAAATGAATCCAGGCACACACATAGCCCTTGTCATGCCTACAGACCTAGGACAATTCGTGCATGCTGTGAACTTACCACCACCGTTCTTGTAGCAGAGGTACGGAAACCTCCACACATTACCCAGACCAATGATCTCGCCAGCCACAGACAGCACAAACTCCATTTTGCTGCTCCATTGGCCTCTCTCTTCCATTTCTTCCAGTTTTATCTCTTCAGGAGCTGCAGGGACCCCATTGGGGTCTCCTCCCTTAGCCACAGCTCTTGTCATGTCTCTGTGGGATAGAGGAAGAAGAGAGCATGGGATGTAGGGAGCTGCTGTGGGACATGTGGGAAGAGGAGGGAGGGGACCAGTCTTCACAACAAATGTGTTCCTAGTATCACTGTGAGTCTCCCTCATCCTCTGGAAAATGGTTTCTTTAGCATTAGCACATAGCATTTTCCCCTTCACTGGACTCGCCCTGAATTCACCCTTCTCCTGCACTGTCCTCTTCCTCATCCTTCCCAGACCACCAGCTTTAGTGTACCTCCATCTGCCCTTCCATACCCTGACTACATGCTCTGCATCTCCACCATTGTCAGAAACTCAGCCAGGACTTTGGAAACAACGGTTCAGAAGAAGAGAACAGGAGCTGGATGTGAAGTGGGGTTTGCGGGCAGAAGGAGTTTCCCTTCCCTGTGTGCTTTATGCAGCAACTGTCTCCTTCTGGAATGGCTTCAGCGGGTAGGATAGAAACATTATGAATTAATAGCCTAAACAAGAATGGACGACCTACCATCTTACTTCAAGGCGTTGCACGAGCACTGCTTTTGGCCCCCTGAACACCATGTTACATCAGCAAAATGCACACATGCTTATTTGACCTAGGCTCCCGTCAGTCACAAACAAGCAGAGCACAAATCCTCTGCCTTTGCCCAACCCTGAAAATACAGAGGAAGGAAACAAAGCCTCTGAGATGAGCAAAAGGACCTCATGCTTGTGAGGAGTTCCAGGTCTGAGCAAGGGAATACTGAGATTAGACATGCTCAGCCATTGCAGTGAAAACGTTAGGAAAAAGCTCAGCTGTGGAAATGTGGAGCAAAGTCACTGTTAGAGAAGAAACACTGAATGAGACTAAACGTCTAGGGTGGTATAAGGAAGACATTCTTCTGTCTGTACCAAATGCTGAATTATGTTCAGCATCAACTTAATTAAGCAAAGTTAGTGGCTGCCTGTTACAAGATACAATTTTCTATCATACACAAATTGGCTAGTTAATTTAAATCCAGCTAAAATTCACACAAACCAGGCTGAATCTTCTTCTTATCAACCTTTTCATATTGTTTATGGGCATTTGATTATGAGAAGAATGTTACCTGAGGTAGGGATGCACATATGAGTCCAGTCAGAAAGCACAGACCTAACATGAGCAGGGTGGTTGATGAACTAAGCCAGGGAAGTCCTAACTTTAGCTACATCTGACTGGTTGCATTACTGAGCAGAAGATGGCTTTTGAAGGGGTGATTGGCATCAGCAAGGGATACACATTCTGATTTTGGCATTAGGAAACTATACTGGAAACAAGCCTCTCCAAAGGAGCAGCATCTCTGCTTCCGTTCTCGCCAGCTGAGAGTGCTAAGAAATCAGGGCTTTGTTTCTTCACATTAACTTACAGATTAGGTTTGCTGATGGTTTGATAGTTTTTTAACAGCACATCTATCACTCCTTCTGTGCCTCCTATGGGAACATCCCTCTGTCCAGGGAGCAGCAGGGACAGCAGTCTGCGTCACCCATGCTGCTGAACTCTATCACTGCCCCTGGATCTGGGGGCACAGGAAAATTTCAGCTTGCTCTCTCCCAGGCAAAGTCCAAGCACAGCTCTGGAGGTTGCTCAGGCCAGGAACATCTACCAGTCAGCGAGTGGCGAGGAAGACCTCATCATCCTTGATGTCGTCTACCTGATAGGACCACCACTAGTCTCTCTCCAGTCATCTCTTTCTGGGTTAGCAGCCGGGTATGAGACATCTCATGGGGACTAGGGAGTCTGACCCAACTGGGAATAAGAGCAAGTGTAGTCCTAACATTGAACTGGCCCAGCAGTCTAGAAACACCATGGCATTTGCTTGGGTATAATTTTCAGTGAGGTAAGGGGGAAGCAGAAGCAGGAACTGGTTGGCTATACTTGCACTTACTCCATGTAAAACAGTATCATTGTCACCATGTCTCATTTGCCTCTGTAAGTTGCTCAGTGCAAATTAAATGATTTCCTAAATGCTAACCCTCTGGATATATTAGGCCCTGGGGCAAAGGAAGATGCATGCATACAAAAAGACAACTTCTGCTGAATGTTCAGTAGCAGTTTTTTGGCACAAGACATTTGTCTTTCCTCTGGGTTCAAGTAAAGAAAGGAAACCAGAGCTCACAGTGTGATATACCAATTGCTCTCTAAATGCCCAGGGCAACAACAGACTTTTTTCCCCCAGTCTGCCTCCATGCTTCAGCCCATCCTATTCACTTTGAAATCAGCAGCAGATTTCCATAGACCTTGAATGCAGGAGGCTGAATCCTACAAGAGCATAAACACTGCCTTTAGTAAGAGGGACTGCAGCAAGAACAGGGGAACATAAACCACGGAGGAGAGCAATCAGGGGTCAGTAAAGACCATCCTCCAGGCTATAAGCAGCCTCTTCAAAAAACATTGCAGAAAGATTCTGGTCCCGTATTAAATTTGAGAGGGTTTTTTTTAGAGTTGTTTCCAGTAAGGGCTTATATCTGGAAAAGAAAGAAATCTGAAGAAACTGTTTACAAGGGCATGTAGTGACAGGACAAGGGATAATGGCTTTAAATTGACAGACGGGAGGTTTAATTAGGTGTTAGGAAGAAGTTCTTTACTGTGAGAGTGGTGAGACACTGGAACAAGATGCCCAGAGAAGTTGTGTCTGCCCCATCCCTGGAAATGTTCAAGGAGCTTTAAGGTCCCTTCCAACCGGAACCATTCTATGATTCTACGATATACGAGCAGTACTGAAGTGGACACAACCAGTTCCAGCATCAAATGCAGATATGCCAAGGTACTTAGGGAAGCAACCTCCCTTTTTTCCCCAGCCCTTGCCCTTTACGGTCCATATGTTGGAAAGCACCTATTTACTCGTATGGATTGCACTGCCCCAAACTCACCAAGTACTACAACAGGTGTGAGTCTGCACTTGGGTGTGAAGCAGAATCAGTCCCCTGACAGACTCATCCAAACCTCTAACCCCACATTTAAAGAAAGTGGTGCAAACCAGAAATCAAGGCACGTACCCTAAACGCTGGCTGGTGCAGAGCTGGCAGCTCTGCAGCTCACCAACAGCACACCAGCATAGAGCTTCCAGTCCCAACCTTGACCCCTTCACTTGTCTCGCCTGCTGGGTTGGATTGGGAGGTTGAAATACAAGGTACTCCCGACAGTCTTTTCTCGTGTCCTAAAGCCCAGGCAAGGCCTCTCTCCCCACTGCCTGCCTGCAGCAAGGCTTGCCAGCTGGCTAATCAGTTCATTCAGATGCTGCAGCACAGCCTCCTCATCTTTGAGAGGAGCAGAGCTCCACGCACTGTCAAATGTGAGAGAAAAAAACAACACATACTTAATGAAACGTGTTTGATCTGTCACAGCCCTTGGCACGTTCCAATTTGCTGCAGTCCAGGGCACATTATCAAGTACAATGATGCTTAAGTCTGGGCTTATTGAGGATGTCAGGAGAAGCTGACAGGAGAGGGCTTAGCTAATTCTTTACTTTTATTCTTTCGATACAAGGTGGGTCCAAGAGCCAGCCTATGTCTACTAATATTTGTGGTTTATCTGGTTATGTGTTAGACCTGTTTGACAGATGGAGGTGATCACAATCAAGGAGTCACCTTGTCTCACCTAACCTCAGGAAGGGAATGCACTGAATGGCAGCCTCCACCTTAGGACACCCAAAGTGAGGCTTTGACACGTGTCCTCTGGCTCCTGAATAGGTCAACACAGAGGACAGAAGCTGGAACACTGCAATGGGAAACAGGGCTGGGACAAACACAGACCATGTGGGGAGACGCAGCACTTGTAGCTTTGCTTTTGTGTTTAAAAGGGAAAATGCAGGAATATAATCAGGAATATAATCAGGAAAGCATCCTGATTATAGAAGCAAACCTTTGCAGCTGGGAACAGGTGGTAGATTAAACTGGTGCCCAAACTTTTGGCCCCTTGTGCCACAAGCTTCAGCTTCTCCCTTCCCTGACAAAGCAACACACAGCATTATGCATCCCCACTACCTCCCTTTCTGCTTTGCCTGCTGTTTCTATGAGAAAGCCTATTCACACACCTCCTGGCTCTTTTCCTGAACATCTAATCCTACTGTGCCCCTGCCCTATATGTTCTCAAGCCAGATGGGGACTCAAATAGCTTCTTGTATCCAGCTAGGAACAATTTGGCTCTCCCACAGCAGCTGCAACCTCCCACTGTGTTACATCCTCCCCAACAGGCAGATATTTTCTTCTCCCTTTGGATGCCCCTCTTCTTAATACATGACTTCAGAGAAAAGGCTTTGCCCCTCATTGCCTCTCTACACATTTTCTGCTGTTCCTTCACCAAATTTTGGAGAAAAATCCTCTGACTCCTTTGTCCCAGCCTCTTTTTTCCCCTCTGCCATCAAGTTTTTCCAACTGTTAAGATGCCATCTGACACAGACCACAGTCTACCCCTCTCCTGGACCCTCTCAGCAACCACCACCACAGTCCTCCTCAATTCCCTCTGACCTCTCCAGTCTCTTCTAGAAACACCATGCTGTATTTTCAACCCTAAGGAATTGAAAGGGGGTGCTTTTTTCCAGGTCTGGACCACCCTTTGCAGACATGACCTGCAGCCTGTTGCCTTCCCACAGACAGAAGGGGGCTTCCTCTGTGGCCAGTGCAAAAAGGCAGCTCTGTAGGAAACAGTACTGGACTTGATAGTGGGCCTGGTGCATAGGGGTAACCTCATTTTTTCCCACTTGATTTATTGCTGAGAAAATAAGAGTACATCTCGATTGCCCCAGGCACTGAAAAAGGAGCAGCAGTGTGGAGGCAGCCTTGAACACAGACCACACCAACAAGTTCCCTTCTTCAGTATCAGAGTGAGGTAGCCCAGTCCCGCCTTGGCCACAAATTCTAAGGCTGTGTTTCTCCCACCCCTACCACCATGGGATTCTTTAAGCATGGCAAAAAGAGGCAAGAAAAGATAAGGATGCTTCTGTATTGCTGTGGACACTCACCAGTTGGGTCTAATACGGTGAACA